CCCCAAAACCCCAAAACCCCAAAACCCCATGGCACTTAAATAGAGGAAAAAGATAGATGTAAATTGTTTTAAGAATTATATTGTAATGTCCAGTCTTTTTTGAAGTCTTAAATTATCAGGCAGACTCACTCCTCATCGATTTCAATTTGCAAATTCTTCTTTTAATTTTGATCTTGTCTTTATTAGTTAGGGTTCTGATCACTTGCCATAAAATTGTTGTTTAATCTCCTTACCTCACTCGATTTTTACTTCTTTTTAGTGCTTAAGTTGCTGAGCTCAATTGAATTTTCTTCGTCTGGTTGATCTGTGATTTACTCTGCACCTCCTTCACCCCTCCTGGTTCCAGTTTCATTATTTTCGTCACCTAATTAATGCACTAAGGCCAATAGTCTCGATTTTTCATTTGGTCTCATGAGAATCATCATCATTACTAAGAAAACTGAAAACATATTGAACCAAAATGATTCCACAAGCCACTCATACTTCCACATAGTTTTTTTGTCTCCCTAGAATTTAAAGTATAACTCAGCTAGAACTCCAAAGAATGCTATAAGAAATGAAAACAATAGCACGCATGAGAATTTCTTCATAATATCAAGCTTGACAGTTTGTTTCTTATCAGAGAGTTCCTTAATAATTTTCTAAAGACTTAGCATAATCCAATAGAAAAAGAATGTATTTGTTGCTGATAAAGGTAAGCTTACTCCGAGTTGAATAGAGTGAGATAATGTAGCAATCTAATTGTAATAAAGGGCAATCAAATATGCAGTGTTTGAGACGAAATAAAGTCCAGATAGTGTTAAAATTAAAGATCTATACTTTTATTTCACTTCTTAAGGTGTTAAAACAATTCCAAATCCTAAAGCAACTAGTAATGTCAAAACTCTGGCATATGTATTTCTGATTACAGAAAACAGTATATTAAATACAATGAATGAATAATTTAGATCTCCTCGACTGTTTTGAATGGTTAACTCTCCTATCATAAAGCCAGCCTAGATAAACTATGAAGTAAGTATTACTGATAAAAAGTGATGAAGAAATATCAAATTATTCTTATGCTTTATGCAAACTACTTGCCATATTAACCCAATTACCATCAAAATGAAGAAACTGCCAGTATAAAACTAGAGAAGAGGAAGTCTTTCAGAATCTAAATAACCATTTGAATTTTTATAAGTAATTGTCCCACTTAGCACAACATAATCGCTGTTTAAGTTTAAATCTGAAGGATCTTTGAATAAGCTTTCATCTCCCATCTAATTTTCATCATTTTCAGCTTTGTTTTTTGCGTAAATAAAAAGCATATAGTAAACCCCTTAGGTTTATATTTTAGAAGACTTCTAGATGAAATACTCCTGGTCATTATTTTCAATTATTACAGAGTTGTAAATAGGGAAATATGGTATAAATGGCCTTAACACTTCATCTATATCTCTTGAATGTCTGAGACTACCCTATTTAGAACGAATCTCTAGTAAGGTAGCAGCATTCACTGCTTAATTGTAGTCTGCAAGAAAAGCATAAAATTTGTATTAGATTCCTCTCTAAATATTGTGAGGTACGATTTTAACGTCTACGTTAGCAAATGCATTCTATAGTATATTATCAGTTTTATTAGCGATATTTTGTTCCTTAAAGTCACTGAATACAAATCTGTAGTTATAGACTAATTGATTATGATTTAGTTTCAAGTTATGAACAAGATTTATGTTTCCCAAAATGGTTTTGATCAGAATGAATACAAATAGGACTGGGAATATCAAAGTACTTTTCTTGATCATATTTTTAATTTGAATTCTATTATTATCTATTATTAACTATTTTGCCTAATGGGGTTTTGGGGTTTTGGGGTTTTGGGG